ACGTCGCGGAATCGATATCCTTCGAGTTATCGGTAAATAAAAAATGTACAGCTTTTACGGCTTGTAAATTAAATCCCGCAGATGAATGACGAAATGTCGTCGTCGGACTTCACAAGCGGGACTTCATCTTCGTAGAATTTTTATTCGAGACATGACTATTCAAATATTCGACACTGAAAATTAACAGGCAAAATTAATTTTCCACGTTGTTGATATGCAAAAAGATTATTAAAGGCTTGTCTTAAAAAACATTGCTCGATATTCTCACTTTTGTTTAAAACGAAATATGTTAAGCTGAGTCCAAACTTTATTTCTTTGTTTCCGAAGATTGCGATAGATCTAAACTATAAATGCGTTAAATGCGTTAAATGCGCGGTGAAAATGTTGACCGTCGAAGAGTCGGCATGATAAAGAGATTGATAAAGAGACTCCTCTAAAGTAGTACGTCGCTATTAAATGTTAGACCATTGCCTAATTGGGAGCTACGCAAACGGCTCACGAACAATTTCTCGCGCGTTTCTAATCAGAAGAAAAAATGTACATCCACATAAAACTCCAGCCGGTCGCGGCAATTAGGCCAAAGATTACGCTTGTGCTGCTTGATAGCTAAAACCGTTAATGAATTAGGAAACAGTTTTTCCTTACTTACATAAATAACGCGGCTGATTTAACTAGATAAGCACATTTACGCAATTCTGACAAAATTTACCATTTTAATTTCGACATTTATGGAATTCAGTTTCTGGTTGAATACATTTTTGAATATTCCGAAATCTCTTGACAATGCAATGTTTAGTCGTGTTGGAAATAATCTCAATATAACATTGTTTTACAAAAAAAAATACGGAACATAATAAATTTAAAATATGTAATATTAATGTAAAAATAATAGCTTCGTCAAATCTTGAATCTTAAGTTGAAATATAGGTAGTTCTATTCAATACGACGCAAAAATAACGTATGTGTGTGTGTGTGTTCTTAAAATCCAATTTATCGTCTCGTAACCTAGCCAAATTTAGAAAAGAGCAAGGGTCTATAAAGGTTCGCATCTAACGGGTCAAGTTTCTCACACGAGAAACCTGGATCGCGTTAAGATCGGCGATGTCGGTCACTGTTTTAATTAAGATCACAACCTGAGGAATGAATTTAAGATGGCCAGTTTGCGAAGTTGACGGCAGGATAAAAAAACAGATGCACCAAAGAGAACAGAGGAGATGCGCTATCTCGATAAGATATGGGAGTGATACGTGCCAACGTCGCGCCTATCTCCAATGAGATAGAAAAAGAGAAGAAAACGGAGAGAGGGGAAGAGAGAGAGAGAGAGAGAGAGAGAGAGAGAGAGAGAGAAAGAGGGAAGAGACTGAACTATTCTTTGGTGCCACGGGACTCTCACGTTAGGCGCGATTAACAGTACTTCACGTAGGCTATAACTTTCCGGACACGCTTCGACACGAGGCTTTGTCGCCGGTGCCCCGGTGGCGAACCCCCTCATAAACCTGACAATTACATCCGAAGCCTGCGCGTACCCAACCGCCGAGAGAGTCGCAAATGAAATAACTACGAGCGACTAATAACGCCGCGCCTCCTCTTCCTCCTCCCCGTTTCCCGCCGGCTACGAGGAAATGTTACTCGCCGGATTGCATCGCCGCGAGTAAACTGAATTAAGAACGTGCGACCGCAAATTAAGACGCGCTCCACGCGTGCACACGCATATGCATATATAGGATATACATGGGATATACGAGGTATCGCATCGTTGCACGGACCACCCCTGTGACAACCAAACATTTATCTTCGTCAGTGACAAGGCCAGAATTATTGGGTACTTATGTGAAAATGCTGTTTCCATCATTTCGACCGTATCTGCTTAATTGCATTGTAAATTTTGGCGTTGCTTCCCCAAACGTTAATGACAAACAGATAAAAGATAAAGCATGGTAATAATTGAAAGGTACAGGTGAAAAACGATCAACGTCCAGCCAGAGTAATTTCAAGAAATTTAAATTTCAAGACATAAGATATATCTTAGGAAGTTAGAAAAAATTTGAATTAGTACAAAATTTAGTGAATAGCGGAGTGCAGCCTTAGTGTTTACTTTATTAGTGTTTACATTGTACGATGGAATCTGACGGTTTTTCCCCAGCGCGTGGATTATGATCATTTTTTCCCCAGCACAGTACATCATTTGGCCTTATTTCTAATGAATTGTAACTGTTCTTGATCAAAACAGATAAGAATTATGAAAGTTCTTTGAAAATGCTATAAGGTAGCATGATCAGATCAATTTCGATAAAAAGTGCATCGTTTTTCTCCTGTACCCTTCAATTGCATAATGATAATTCTATTACTATCATTTACTATTATTTATTATTTACTATAATTCTATTAATATTATTTTCATTTTACCGTAGCTGTTCTATAAACAAAATGATATTTTAATGCAACGTTTCATGTTGGTATACAGAGATATAACAAATGATAAAAAAAATTCAGTATTATTATTTTTATCATAACATTATTAATTTCGTATCGTCTGCTCAAGCAAATGTAAAGCAACGAGCATAAAAAAGTAGCAGTTACACCCTCCCGTAAAATATTTTATGGCTACTTCTAATTCTGAAGCTTTTAAATACATTCTTTACGAGGTTTTAATACATTCGCTTCTATCGCGATAAAACTCGCGTTGAAAACTACGCCTGCATGATCATCGTGCTGTTATCACTCGTGGCTCGTTCCGACAAATTAATACGCGTACTAAATATATACGGACACGCGCGATCGAGTGCCCACTTCAGAAAGAATTTCTATTCTATCGTAGTGAAGAGATAATAGGGTTCGTATTACCCCGATGCACGCGAGATTAGCCCTCAAGTGCGCGGCTTTATATATGTACAAAGCGAATTTTCGATGCTCCGAGTACTCTCCCCTATGAAGTTTAAACTGAAAACGCGCGACTGCTCAATCTGTAAAGAGCCTTCTCTGACCCTTCTTTCCTTTCTGAATGGGAAGGTTCAGAGGATCATTATTTATTTAAAAAATAACACTTGAATTTGCAGTGAGCATTCGTAGCTATCGACGCGACAAGGAAACTTACCGCGATGTACAGATTTAATAATGGGTAATTAGCGAGGTAATTAGCGAGATCTTTAATATGTATGCTACTGTCAATATCCGGTTACTCGAAGAAAAGAACTCGAGGAAAAGAAAGAGAAAGAGACGAAGCAGAAAACGCGAACAGAGAAAACGCGTGGAAGTTACGTTAAACGCGCGCAGTAAAAATCGACGTTTAAAGTGAATATTGATAACTAACGTAGTGCGTCGCTAATAGTGTGATCGATACTAAGCGAAATGTTACCCGCTCATCAGATAATGCTCACTGCAAATTCAAGTGTTATTTTATCTGAAGCTCTTCTTACACATTTCTTGCCGTTTTAAGATCCATTTCTATACCAATGTAGATTAATTTTAATCGCGGTTTAACTTTACTTTTCATCTTTTTCGCGTTTTCAAAATTAGAGAAAGATAAAAGGTATAAGTTAAACCAAGATCAAAGTTAATCTGCATCGGTAGAAACGGAAATAAATCACGTTTAACATGGTTGAAATCGTATTCACTTTTAATTTAATACGATTAAACGTGTTAATTTAACACGCAACAAAACATGCAAAACGAGCTTCAGTCAAATTTGTCATTTTGAGACGTTTACGCGTGTAGAAATAACACACTTGGATTTACAGCGCTCGTGTTCAGCTAGAGGCAAGCGGATTCACCTGCCTCTCGCGTTTAATATTCATAACTCGTAACGGACGAGGACGACGTAATCACAAGTACGTAAGAAACGGACGCTCGTCCCCGTAGGAGGTCATTCGAAGCGCGAAATCTGCGACGACGACGACGGAGAGTCGTTCCTAAGTTGCATTCCATACGCGACGGCCGAGGACGGGGGAGGACGAAGGTAGATAGAAGGCGAAGATCGATAGAGGTTCGTCGACTCCGCGACTGACCGACGACTCCGTCGCTTGATATGCCGATGGGTTTAGTTCATAACTTTCCTGGAGAGTTACGGAAGCAGCTTACCCGCGGTAGCGTCAAGAAACCGGGGATTTGCATAATCGTAAACAGTCGGACGTCAATAAATCTGAAATGTGAGATGTGGGATAAAACGGTGCTTAATTTCTTTGCCGAAGGAGCGTCTCGAAACATTGGCTGCTACCTAAATACGCGTGGTGCTTCTTATTTGGATTCTTCGTTAAGTGAATCGACAGAGAAAAGGAGAGTTTTGTCAGAACTTCACGTTATCCTGAACGAATATTTCAGTTCGATCTAAAATTCCCCTAAATTTAAAAGATTTAAAATCCTTAAATTAACCAACAAATAGTGTCTCACGATTTATGTGTTCTTTCTGTCAGGATTTTTTTGTTATCGTGAATATTTCAGTTTAAATAAAAAAAAATTCCCCTAAAATCCCTCAAATTGACCAACAATTCGTGCTCTTATATGTTCTTCCGATATATAAATCGCAAAAAATCATTTTGTTATTTTTATATAACTTATAGCTTATTACAGCTCTTAAATGTATAAGTTTTCGTAGCATTCGGAGTATTTTTTAAATAAAAAATGACTTCCTGGTCCCTTCCCACCTAGAAGGGAGAAAAGCGTGAAGCGCGTTTTCAGTTCGAACCTCACAAGGGAGAATATACCCGGAGCATCGCGAGCATTCGCTTTGCATGCATGCAAAGCTGCGCACTTAAGGGTTAAACTAAACTCGACTGAATTTTACAAGATAACGTCAAGAGAAAATTGTGTGAGCAGCACCGCGCTCGCCTAGCGCCACAGTTTAACACACGCCGTATATATGTCGGAGCATGTGTCGTACACATTCGCGTCGAGCAACGACGGCGTAATCTCGTATAACTTGTACGATCGAGAGGCGTCCGCCATCTTAATTGCGTCTATTTCGCGACTGGTGTCGGGCGCGAATAGTTTTGCGTGTCACTCACCGAATCCTCCTGAGCTCCGTGGACGCTCCCGGAAACCGTTTTTTTGCACCTCGCGCCTCCTCGCTTAATCCAGGCGCCTATCACAGACTTTCCACACCTTTCCGCGATTCGTTCAGCACGCACTCGCACTCCCGGGGGGCGACGCGACGGAAAGATCGCCCGACGCGACGGTCAACGGTCCGAGTCCGAGTCCTGGCCTTCTCTCGCACTCCTTCCCGAAGATTCGTGGCGAGGCACAAATGAACACGATTGTCACAAACAGTGCGTGATTCCGCTCGCGCCGGCGAACACGCGTTTAGCGTGTCCGATCCGAATTTCCTCGCCCCTTCACGCGACCCGAACTGCCGAACCGTGTGAGACTCGCGAAACTTGGGACGCCTCGAAGAAGACTGTCGAAGATTCACGCGCGACCTGCGCGACTTCTCTCGCGAGCCGTTTGAAAATTTTCAAACGACAGCCAACTTCGCACCGATTGCACGGCCGAGAGATGGCGCGTGACGAAACCCCGGGCTCGCGCGTTGTTTTGAACGCGGCGCGACGAGGCCGACGAGGGAGATATTTATCCGCCCCCTCCCCAAAAAGAAACTATCTACACGTTTTCGGCGCACTGTTTTCGGGCGACGGGTCACATTACTCCCGTGCGACGACGACGACGTTGCCGCTGATCCGCGAGCCGACGGATCGCGCGCGGCCGTGCGAACACTCGAGATCCCGCGACGGGCATAATCCAATAACGCACGGCGTTCGGACGACGTCGCCGGGCGACGTTTCCCTTCTCGTCTCGTTTCTTGACACACGATGCGCGTCCGAGGGTGTCGGCCGCTCCGTGCTCCGGTAGCCTCGCTCGATGATCTCCTCGCCGCGCGGGGGATCGCGTCGTCGCGCGGCAACGTTCACGTCGATGCGGTCGGCAGAAGAGGCAGCAGCAGCAGCAGCATCACCACTGGCCGGATCATCTCGTCGCGGGCGACTCGGCGCGCCGGCATTCGCTCGCGCGTGGTAATACGTGGTCGCTCGTCGCGAGCTGCCGGCACGACGGCATGGCGCGGGTAAACGCGCGCGTGCGTTTTCCGAGCCGACGATAGAACCGCACCACACCACCGTGCACCGGGGAAACGTCCTCTGACCGTCGTCGGCGCACCCGTAGTACGTACTGCCGCCGTACAACCCGGTAACGACGGAAACCGCGCGGGACGCGGCGCGACGCGGCGCGGCGCGAACGGGGGAGGGGGGACGGGCGACTTGGTGGGCGACGGGCGACGATGCGCGACGACGTGCGACGATGACGCGCGAACGGAGCCGCTGGTGGCCGACTGCCGCCGACGGATGAACGAACGGACGGACGGACGAGACGACTGGTGGACGGGCGGGTGCCGGGTGGGCGGACAGGGCGCGCTGAGCGCTCCGAACGATCAGCTGATCGCCACGCGCGCGCTGCTGCTACTCGGCGACTCGACGTCAGCGACTGGCCCTGGCTCCTCCACCGGTGGGGTTGCACGGGTTGCACCCGCGGCGACTCATCTCGGAGAGATTCGCTCGCTTCCTCGCCGCGTTATCTCTGCAACGTGCGTGCAATGCACGCACGCACCGCCGCCTTCCTTCGGTGTGTGTATATTATCGCGCACGTGCGACACCGCCGACGCGGCCGTCTCGCGTGCTTGCTTGCGCGCGGTGCGCACGCACGTGGGCACGCGCGCGTCAATGACGGCGCGCGCAAATATCAGGGGTATTCTCTTTCTCTTTTTCACGTGACTTCGATTTCTTTCTTTTTCTCTTTGTTCCTTTAAAACGTCGATTCGCGCGGCAGGAGACACGTGCGAGAAAAGAGCGAGACGGAAGAAGGCGCGAGAGCAGACTGAAAGAGAAGGGGGGAGAGAGAAAGAGAGAGAAACAGGGAGAACGACACAGAGAAGAGAGAAAAGAAAGAAAGAGTGTCGTCGTCGTAGACCGACCTAAGCACCTAAGCACCGGACTCGTCACACGGCTTTGAACGGCGAGCGACGGCCGAGCGTGACAGCTGAAGGAAAATCACGAGGCGAGCGTGGTGATGGCGCGAGCGACAACGTACGCCATCCGCTCGTGTCGGCAGCCGGGCGTGCACTGCCTTCCCGAGTCGTCGGTTGGCTCTCCATCCTCGACTCCGGCTCCGGCTGGCTGGCTGGCTCGCTCGTTCGCTCGCTCGATCGCGCGCGACCGGAGTCGCCGCTCGCCCGTATCGCGTGCGCCGCGACGACGGCGATGGCCCGGCGATGGTGCTTGATGGGGCACCGCACGCGGTAGAGAAGGATAAGGTAATCAATTAGGAGATATCGATTCGAATCAAGGTTCTTTTCGGGAACACGGGAAAGGATCGAGTAACTCTTGATCTTTTCGTCGGTGCCGGTTGTACCTGACGTCTCGATCAGCACTAACCTGGGTCAACTTAGCGTTTTGCTTTCCTACCTGATATACAAAGATTGATAGCTTGTTTTAGCTTTATTTTTATGGATAATGTAAAATAATATTAATATACAGTACGATTAATTAGAGAAGATTCCATTTTTGGTGTCAGTCTAGATCTTAATAAGCTAATAATAATATTTCGGTGTTTTGTAGGTATGCTTTTTCCAACTCTTAACACAGATTTTTGTTAGAACAGTAAATCCACTTACTTAAATCGATAATCGATCTAACTTTTGATGCTGATAAGCGACCTTTGTAAAGCAATCATTGTAAAGAATTTATTGCGAAAAATATCACTCCAGTCAAGGTTCAAACTTGAACCTCCTTACAATCCATAACGGATATCTTTACTAATTCGATAATAATAATATGTCTGTATGTATATATAAATGCACACAATTAAATTTGAATATCTGTAATCAACGATAATATATAATAATTAGCATTTATTGCGTAGTATGATTTAATGCTAGAAAAGTATGAAGTACCAATCGTCATTATTATTAATCTAGTAAAATTTAGAATAAAATTTAGCGCAAAACGCGAATAAAAATGGAGCTGAAAAAATATAGAATAAATACATAATTTTTCAAAGAACATTGAAATTTATATCGATGAATAAATCGAATATCATCTGTCTCTCCTTAGAGCAGTAAAATGAAAGAGCATCTTTTCCCTCGCGTCATTCGTATCATTATTGATGTACTTTCTCTTGAACTTATCGCTTCACATAATTTAATTCGATTTAAGCTTTCAGATCTTACACCAACACTGAGAAAAAAATTTGTTAATCCAAAAAAATATTTAGTCCGATACGAGCAACTAAACATGTTAGTTAGTTAACTAAATATTAGTTGTTTCAACAATTATTAAGTTACACTAAAAATATAATGCAACCTTCATTTCAACCTTTAAAATTTTTTAATCAAGAATTAATTAATTTAACTAATGTTTAGTTAAACTATCTAAAATATTTAATTGCTCGTATCGGACTTAATATTTTTTGGGATTAATAAATTTTTTTCTCAGTGAAGTTATTGAAAGCTTTCATAATGTCTCGTTTCGAATACAATAAATTCTAAAATACAGTGAATATAATAGCGTTCATCCGAAATAGAAATTACTGTTCTGAGAATAAAATTATTGTCAGTAGTATAAAAGAATATGCATATAGCAAAGCAATATTGAAAATATATTAGACTTTTTTTTTAGGAAACAAGAGAAATAGAAAGCGCAAATTTTTCGATATTCTGTTACCATAAACGCGATCGTGAACGAGATGGGTCATTCAAATCGATCTTTAAATATCTTTGACCTGTTATCTAACAAAATATCTTATGAAAAGCGCAAGTGCTATATTCGCTCAGTAAGGATTAGACGCATTGCGGCATCTTTACGAGAAACTTTTACGACTTTAGTTATCCTGACGTCCGTTCTATAAAAGTTTTCGCAATGATCGCGAATTTATCGACTTGTAGGAAGTCTGAACTTTTCAATTGCAATCGTTCTGGTTGTTTGAATCGCTGAGCCCCTTTCGTTAACGATTTACAGAAGTTGAACGATGCAATAGCGTGACTATGTGTTCATGACGTGACGCCTTCTTTTTCATTCAAATCACATAATAATAACTTCCTACATCAGAATTAAAGAGAATAATCTATAAAGCTACGTGTTTTCATATCGTATAATTGTAAAAAAGGCGTATATAACTGCAATGGTGCAAAGGTGAGCGAAAAAATTAACTTGAGCCGCAATTTACCGAGTCTCTGTTTCCGGCTATAATATAAAGAGGAAAAGAGAAAGAGATGATCTATTAATTATGATTCACTTTAATCAATGTTAATAAGATCTATTTATATGATGTGTGATGATGTGCTTATATAAGGACGATTACAAACGCAAGATCAAACGAAGAGAGGATCTTTGATCCGCGGAACGGAGAATCTGCCGATGATGGCCGCTGTCCGCGATATGTGGGTGTCGCTATTCGAATATTTCTAAGTGAGATCAATCCGGGGCTTTTTCTCTCTTATGTGTATGTGCATGTGTGTGACCGAGCGTAGACAAATCAATGGCCACGCCTTTGGGAACCGGGCGCCGCGCCAGACGTTGCCAGCCGAAGACAAAGACACCCACGTGCGAATTGTATATCTCCCTCTCGATCCGAAAAATCCTCTAGGAAACTATCTCCGATAATTGCCGTTCCAAGAAACTAGAAGTATGACCGATTCACCGTGCTCCGTTCCTCCTTGTGCTCTCTCTCTCGCGTGAGGTATGAGGTATGTATGTATTGTTAGTCATCGCGCGGCCTGAATTCTTTCCTGCTTGCTTGCATAGAGATGCATCAGACAATAATCCTTTCGGCATCACACTTCAACTCGCAAGGTTCTTAAATCATTATACGAATATGTGTGTGCGATTATTTCACATACTTTCGTCTGCTAATGGATGTTATTTTATTGTGATTTTTTTTATGTTTTAATAAAATGGATAAATTTCTTCCGATAAAAATGAGTAAAGTATATATCGGAGCCAAACGCTTGCTTGGAAAGATCTAATAAATGAGACGCATAAAAAAATACACAGCATTTGTTTGCAACCTTTTAATTTAATTAATTTATTACTCGTAAATTAATATAATTGTTATTTAAATGGAAGTTTTATTATATCAAAATAGCACTAGTTCTCTGCGTAATTTTAGTATTCAGTATAAAATTGTCAAAGCCGCACATATTTTGTAAATATTGTGTAAATATACGATTAAAATAAATATATATTATGTGCGATGTAATAAAACCTGGAAAAATATTAAAATTTGGCGAGGATAAGCGACAAGTCCTCATGATTGCGTCTAAGAACCCGAAATATCTGTGAGCCGAGATTTTAACGTTCATTCCTTGCAAGAACCCCGTAGCACAGCGCAGATCTATTACATGCGTGAGAATGGCCATAAACCAAACGGTTGTCGTGCAAAGTACAGCATTATACGGATCGCCCGAAGTGATGCACATTATTCGCGTGTGCGATCGTGACACACCGTCTCGTGGGTGAACCGAATGTAACAGGTAAGCGAGCGAATATTTGCGCCATCGACGTAAATTTCAGCTTGTTGTTTTGCGCGTGATGAGACGGGAGCGTGTCGGGATCGACGCTGAAATTGCCGTAAACGTGCTACCCGCGTAACGTGCCAACGTTAAAACGGCTCGCGATAACGATTCGTGAGAATTTTAAGAGGTCTTCCCTCTGTGCGTGCACTCGTGATTTCCTGCGATCGAACGTGGGATTTCCTTCGAGCAACGGATCGGCACACTTCTGATTTTACATACGTCCTTTTAAATAAGTTGTAAGTTTATAATACATTGTATATCAACGATATTTATAATTCCAACTGTTCTTTCCTTTCTTGCTAAAACTCTACTGCAAACTTCGTATAAATTATACATAAATTTGTCATTTGTGATAAAAATTAATCTGTGAAAGGCAACCAATTTTTAAATAGTACAAAATATATGTCGTTTATTTATGTCTTTTTTTTAGATATATTTTAATTTATTTTTAAATTTGATAAGAATTATATGTAAAAATAAAATGAGAACAAAATGTTTCTAAAACTATTTAATAAAACATAATACGGTTTAGCAATTGCATATAAAAAGCTACATGTGTTTAATTGATTGATTTAAGAGCGAGTTTATGAGTAAATGCATATAATATAAAATAATATAGATTGTTATATGAGAAAATACATGAAAGTTTCTTCAATGAATGTAGTAGAAAAATTACAAAATTTAATCGTGGGACAATCTATATTGGTTGGGATGAATGTATAGTAGCCTGAAAAGCGAGTTACTGCTGCCATCTATCCTCTGAGAAGAATATGTGATTCTTCACGTAGTTAGCAAAAAAAGATATTTGTAATATGCCTAGAAAACAGTAAATATCCTTATCATACTAATGTTAATAATTAATTATATTATTTTATTATTGCTTATTTACCATTGATCCATACAGATCTGAAATGATTAAGTAAAACTTTCAATAAGATTTTTTAAACAAATTGTCTTGTTAATAGCCTATTGTATTATTAAAGATATATTAGACAGCTAATACAATTATATAAAAGTTATTACATTATAGTAATATGCAAAAGATGGCATATTGTCCCATAAATAAATGTTTTGTTTTTTAATGTTTTTTTTAAGTTCATTATTAATAAAACCGAGTTTTATCTCGCAAGTAAATCAAACAAGGTATTTAATAGATATTTTATTAGATATTCTTCATATTTTTATGTGATCTAAATGTCATCTAACGTTGCTAACATTGTTAGTTGACATTGCTTGTAACCGATATAAATTGTCGGTAATTCATCCATGGCAGGTATATCGTACAGTGTTATCGTACTTAATGATATTTTATTATAACGTTAAACATACATTGCTATTTAAAAAATTTTACGCGTTTTCATATATTAATATATTATTTCGAGAATACATTTCGCAAGTTTATATATACTATGATATTATTACCTTCCAATCGTTATGCAGAGCAAACGGCGCACTCTAAAGGTAACTTGCTATCTGAATGATAAATACAATGATAATACACAAAGCAATTTTAACAAATTATTATTTTTAAAATTGCTTCTTATAAGAAAATTTTGTGAAAAACTATTTATTGACGTTTATACTTTTTTAATATAAAATTATTTATATTTCCGATAGTAATAATAATTAATTAATAATATTATGTAACAATGTAACTGATAATAACTAATTACTAAGTAATAATTAATTACTTGATAATAATAATAATATTTAATTGTTTAAGGGACAAACCAAAATATGTTTTAAGGACTATATGTTTTTAAGACAATAATATAAACGATTTAATTTAAAAAATATAATTTTGAAGATTTTCTTTATTTGAGTCGAATTAATGCGAGTCTATTAGTAGATTCAGGCGATTTCCTTCGAGTTTCAGTTTCCGCGTAAACACGTGTAGCATACGTAACGAGCATACGTTCAAAGTACATTGCGCCATTGATTTCATATTTGTCATGTAAAGTGCAAAATCAACGTGTTTCCTATGCTTGCAAAATGTTTAATTAAGTATTTTTTATAATAATTATTTTCTTCTAAGTTTTTAACAATTCTCTTGAGCACACACTCTAAATAAAAAAAATAAAATTCAAAGGAATATGACAAAGGTCATTGAATATATTATTTATTTTACTTGCTAGTTTTATATTTCCATATTGCAATTTTGCGTGACACAGCGTATTACTGATTAAGAGGAAGTATATCGATTATTTCCAAAGTCATTATTGATACAATTCATAACGGAAATGACGTGTTCAGAAAGAGAGCTCTATAATTCAATGGTAATAATATATCTTTCAGTAATAATGAAGTTCCGAAATTGCTCTTTTGACAATCCAGTTACTTGGTATCTTGTACGAAAACGCTTGACAAAAGCTAGAAATATTTAAATAAGTTTTACATTTTGTTTGAAGAATTTTTTCCCTTTAATAGCGAATAGTCATTTCTTAAAATATATTCCGTCATTGTTATGGCAAGTATCGATAATCTATTCGCGGCACGTAAAAACGTAATATGTACAACATCTCTACAATGTTACAAAAAAGCGATTATATAAAACGGTTTATACAATTGTAAATATAAAATAAAAAATTTAACAAAACATATTCGTAAATATATTTCTTTTGTTGGTGCTATTAAGTAGCATTATAATTCTTAACGCTATTAAATACGCAAGTGTTATATGACAGCTGTAATAAAGTTGTATATTCCAGAAATAATAAAAAAAAGTAAATAAATTCATATGTATTGAGTTTAACGATGCGTACAGATTTGTTAATCATTCTCAGATCGAAATTTTCCATCTTACAAGGGAAATCTCCAAACACATTCCGATGTTTATTTTCAACGATTTTTTTAATAAACAAGAGAGAGAGAAAGTCTTTTGGGAATTTGCTAAACAAGAACATATCATTTTGGACAAAAAATTAGAATGGTTAACCCGTAAACATAGTCTATTAAGAGCCACTTCGACCAAACTTCGTTTAACTTAATCGTTGATTAGTCCATTGGAAATGACCAATCGCATTTGTCAAACTGCTTAATGAGCAAATGTGATTGATTATTATATATATGTATATATATATACATATATAATATATATTATTGAGTTTATTAAAAGTCTTTCGATTTTTAATTAAGTAGAAAAAAGTGCCATTTTCAGTCGGGCTGAATCTTGATAACCTAATAATAACATTTCTGTATAAATTTTGTATGTACTTTTTTCCAACTCAGCAGACTGCACGCCGCGATTATTTGTCGGTTTTCAAACTTGTCAGTTCTCCGTTGAGACAGTTAAATCCACGCATTCAATAATCGATTTAACTTTTAATACTAATAAGCATCCTTTTTAAATCACTGTAAATAATTTATTATGAAAAATATCACCCGAGCCAGCGTTCGAATCTTGACCTCTTTCCAATCTGTGATGGGTGCCTTTCGGTTTATTTGAATACAATATGTATAACTATAAGATACTAAATATGTAGAACACAATATCAGTAACTATATAAACAAGAAAGAATTCAATAAAGTAGATCTATAGTATCTATATGATATTAAATATTATGTTGAAAAGTGATTATAGTTAAATAATATAACATTTTGTACAATTTTATCTTCTTCAACTTATTAAAAATGCAGTTTATTCATATTGCGTATATAGCGTAAAAATTGTTTGATTCATTAAGGAAATGTACGTGAGAAATTGATTCATTAAAGAAATATACTCTGCATTTTATGTGACAAAAAACCACCATGAAGGACGTTGGTTAATGATTAGTCACATATGAATAAATAGAAAAGAATTTCTGTGCTAATTGATTCTTTTCTGTAAGACGTACATATAAGGTACGTCGTACATATAAGGTCGATGTGGGAGGCAATAAGGTGTAAACAATGTTAATATTTATTTTCACTATTATATATTTTTCTCTTAATATTATAATTTATTTTTACTAAGTAAAAATTATTTGTTACAAAATTCTACAAGATCAGAAAAATGACATTATACGAATTAATAAACTTATAACACCCCATACTAGTAAAGTCGTGATAACTGTTAACAGGGTGTAGTGAGCGATTTTCAATCTAAAAGAAAAAAAATCATTGTAAGTACGTTTCACGAGGCGAAAAGCAATAGCGATATGTGCAGGAGCAATTACTCACTTTCTATATTTTTCTCGTCCTTGGTCTAAGGTACTCATCGGATCTTTAGCTATATATACGCGCATACCAGGTATCATGTGTCTGAGATATGAATCCCAACTCAAATTATCTATATTAAAATTGAAAATCTGTCGATCAGCCGGATTCACACGACTCCAGAGCTTCACAACAGCGTCGTTGCTGAATCGCCATTGTCTTGTCGAGAAGTGCGATATTACAGCACTGAACTTGTCTATCTTCTTATATGCCTTCACTAGCCTGAAAATTTACACTTTATTAAATTCTGCAGGATTCGCGGTGATCGCAGGAAGCTGGCGCTAGACTATGCGCGATTCGTGGTTCGTGATTCGCGATTCGCCATTCGCGCCGATTCGCTAGCGGAGCGGTTTTTTGACACAATCAATAAAATGAATTTTATCTTTTTTTCTAGCGCCAGCTTTATGCCTTTAGGAACTTGGTAAATCCCTTACATGGGTTTTCGGCCGCTGAGAAAAAGCACAGTGTCGGTTATAATAGCAGGTATCAGGTGCAGAAATATCGTACAAAAATCGTGCACGAATTTATGTTTGTTGAGGAAAAAAAAATAGTACCAGAGAACGTGTAAGCTCGGTACCTGCATGCCATACAGCTCATTTAATTTCATGAATCTTCTCCAAGTAATGGGATTTTGACATATCGACACGTAATTGTAAATCGGCGCTCTCTCGGTTTCTGGAACATCCGGATTCGCGTTCTCGATGCTCAATAGAGTATTTCTAACAAAAATATGTATTATAAATGATAAAGTTATATGTATCTCGTATGTACTATTTTGTTATTTAGAGAAGGATATATTAACAAAAGTTATAGAATATATATGAGGATCTAATCTTAAAATTATATAAATTCCTAGAGATTTTCGATATTTTACTTTCTTGATTCGATTTGACATTTGTTTGAAATTCTGCTGTAAAATGTTTGGTTAAAAGAAAAAACGTTTTTAAAAAGGTGTTTTTAAAGCTTATAATCTTTCTTAAATTAAATAAATATTATTAGAAAATTGCTAACTTAGAAAAAATTAGATTCATATTTCTATAAATATTGACTATATTCTACAAAATACTTCTTAAAGTTTATGAATTCTTTACTCAATAAGAAAATGCATTTTGTTGAAAGTAATAAATATAAATGGAAAATTACTAATTAGTAAAAAATAAAAATTATATTTCAATAATCATTGACTGCATTGCAGTAAATACTTGTTATAATTAATCAATTATTTCCTTTATAAAAGAATTATGTTGTTCAAGTCTCTTATTTAAAAAAAAATGCATTCACAATTATATGCAAACTCGCAATTTACTAAAATTAAGGAAATTTTCTTTTTTTTAATATATTTTTTTCTCAGTGCATTGTAATCTCTTCTTGCTATTTGATTCTCACATTATATGCTGTGTTTTTTACTTCGTATTGTTCGTATAAATTGCATCATAATCTGTTTTTTTTTTCTATTTGATACTCTTATTACACGCTCTTTCGTATTATGAGTTTCTTGTGGAAACTGGGAAAACCGTGACAAAGCAATTTTACTTGTTTCTAGAAAATGGGATGTTAATTTACTTTGATAGAATGAATAAATGAATCATTTCAACTTATAACACTCTAGTCTCGAATTTATGCAAAAGCGTAGTATCATGACCAATCATTATGACGCAGGTTGCATATTGTAACAATTCATATTGTAACAATCAGCAAATACTAAGAAAATATTGATAACTAAGAAAATAGTGAATACTAAGAAAATATTGATATATGAACAATTTTACTTCATACAGTTATCAATGATACTTATACAAATAATTTTATTCATTGAGGATAAATTTTGATTGATTTGATGGTAAAGAGCAATGTACACATTTATTTCATTTTAACAGAAATAATTATAATTGTGTATCTTCTGTTTCAACGTGGAAATCTTGAAATGAGATTATATTGCGTTAAACGAAGAAAATTTGCTTGAATAAAGTCATCATATAGTTCAACCAAAAAAAAAATGTAAAGTTAAAATAAATGTTAAAATAAAAAGTTGAAATTCTTATACGAAGATGTAGATTGTTTCGTATATACGCAAAATTACTATAATCTTCTTATAAGAATTTCAACCTTTTCTTTCAATTTTTTTTCTTGGTTGAACTATACATATAATGACTTCATTCAAGCAAGATGTCTTCGTTTAACGCAATATAAGATATCATTTCAAGATTTCCACGTTGAAACTATAGATGTTTTTAAATCAAAGATATTCTTTTTTTCTGTGTAGATTTTAAAGTAGATAATTTGTCATAAACCGTAATTAAAAGTAAGTAAAATTAAGAGTAAAAATTAAAAATTTAAATCTTATTGCAATTGATGATAATTTTTGTAATTTACAAATTTACATAATCACAAGTAGAAAAACTAGTGCAAGTAAAACTAATAGTGCAAGAAAATTGCTGAGTTGTGAAAATTAACTAGACTAATTGCGCCTATCTTTACATATTATATGATAATGATCTTTACATTATATTAGTTTATTCGTTAACAGAGTTACTTTAATTTTTAAACTTTAATTACTATTTACTCGTTAACAGTTAATTTTAATTATTATAGTAGTGACAAATTATAATAACTTGTCATAACTGTAACAATTAAAATCTAATAATTATTATTCTCAATATTTGCTTGATATTTAAAAAATTTAGAATAATTTAATTATCTGACTTATTTAAAAATTAATGAAAATATGAGTTTTATAAAAGCAACTCAAATACAAAATATTGATTATTTCGTCAGAAGTACATATATAACATTTGTATTAATTTGGTTTAAATATTAATTTGGTTATAAAAATCTTTATTTCTAAAACCAAAAATAATTGACACGCACATAATATGTGCATTGTTGTAATAAAATAAAATAATAAAATTAATTGTGTGACACAAATAAACATTGACTAAATATCTGACTAAATATTAAATATTTTTTGTATTTTTGCAGTGTAAGCTTACTTTCTTTTGGCAGTGTCCCAACTCGCGGCGATGAAATGTGAAATGACATAATCTGCGGGCACTATCTCTGCCACATTTTCAGGATCGCAATGCAGTGTACGTAACAAACCTACGGCACTCCCCATGACTACACCCACAGCACCATAGACATTGTTGATCCAGCCTTCTACAGGCTCCTCGGCCGTTGATGTTACAATCGATGGTCGTACGATACAGGTTGGAATTCCGACACTGTATTGTCGAACAGTATCTTCAGCGATCGCCTTTGTATATGTATATGAATTCGGCCATTTGCCTATTAACCTGTATTCATATGAACAGATACGGTATAGTATCTCGCGTCAAGTGTAAGCGTATATGTATAGAATTATAGTATATAGAAAAGTAGAAAATTAAAAATAATGCTCTTGTAATTATAAAAAATACATCGCAATAAATTAGTTAATTAATGTAATAAAATGCATGCTAATGACCTGAATAATACTCGACTTTTACTCTTTTAATTTTATTGAAAGGCACTTACGTTGGTGTAAATTTATCTAATTTTTCATCGTCTAGAATATCGAGTAAGGTCAAAATCTTATCCGTTTCTATAGGCGGAGGATAATATCTTTCTTCAATGAAATTGTGCACACAATGAGCAAATGCAGTGGATACATAAACAAATGCCTAAAAAATTAAGTAAATTGAATTTTTACAAATCTGAAAACTTGATTAAAATAATCTTTTTTTTACATACCTTTAAATTCGGCATTTCTTTC